AATACGAAATAAAGATATAGTTTCATTATCTTTTTACACTTAGGTTTGTAAATAAATGTGCTTGAGTAGTCATCGTTGTGTCCGTGTGGTGACGGATTAAGAATAAGGAGTGTCACCACCACTATCCATCTCGTGGTTATCGATTATGGGAGCAAACTTTGCAGGACAACTGGAAAAAAAACTTCCTTTTTAAGGAGAGGTCTATGTCCAGCCAGTGGACTACTAAAGGCTGTTGTTGATGATGAAATCACGAACTGAATAGAGGGTTAACAACACAACCAGATTGAATCTAGGTTTAGGCATGCTACCGTTCTGCCTAAACTGAACTATAGAGGAAGAGGTCCTTAATTAAAACACAAAATACTTTATAAACCGGTTTTATTACAAATATTACAAAAAGGCACAGATTGGACGGTATTGTAATGCCTTGAATGAGTATAAAATGGAATGTTCTTAAATACTATCTTATTTACGATTTGTCGGACAGATCTTTACATATCAGTAAAATAATATATCTATAATAAATTTACGGCTCATTTACTATAACAATAATAAGGAATAGATACTTCAGAATCATTACTGGGATTAATTAAGCTAAACGGTTTTAGTCAAATTTGTACTTCGATGTCTGGCATCGCCAGTATGACGCTCCACTCCTTGAAATAGGTCCCCCGTCACATCTGAACCTAGTCATCTGACGTCTGAGGACATAGTGTAAGTTTATTTCACGCGTTCGGTGTTGTGATTGGTGGATATTTCAGTGCGAACCAATCACAACACTGCGGTCACTGTCACTATAGATTTGATGTGAAATAAACTCCCACGCAGCAGTGTGTGACGACCGCTTACCCGATGGACGGACGACCTGGTAAAGGTTGCCTTAAACCGTTGGATGCAGGCCGCAATCAACCGTCCCCGCTGGAAATCATTGGGAGAGGCCTATGTCCAGCAGTGGACAAGCATAGGCTGAGGTGGCAAACTCCCACGTGGCCCTCTGACAACGTAGTCACAGGACGTTTCACTTCTTGAAATAGGCCCCCGTTGGTTGGTATACTCGAAACACACGTGAGTAAAACCGTTTATCTTTAACAAAACAAAACAGCTCACGAAAATGTTACTCTAACTGGGATTAGTTATTTAATTTTGATAGTGTGGTAGGTACTTCTTAGCGGACGTTTATTAAATTCTCAATATTCTTTATAAAATTAATTTTAATTCCAAAAGAAATAAAAGAAAGCCTTGGTCAAGTGAGATAAATTTTAACTGTTTAATACAAGTAGCAGAAGTGATTGTTTTTTTTGTTACATGTTAATATAGTAACTACTCAATCGGTTTTTCAGATACACGATATCATGGGTACGAAAAGGACATACCTTATGTCCTTTCTTTGATAGTCCTAGTAACTTAGGGTATCCCTTTAAATATCAAATACCAAACTACACGATTTGAAGCAATAGACTTGCCTACATAACTGGTTTTTTTTAACTTGCCTATCTATATATATATATATATATATATATATATATATATATATATATATAAAAAAACGATAAGTTGGTTTGTGTACGCTTCAGAAATGCCAAAAGTTCTGCACTTATTAAAGTCAAATGTTGACACGTCATACAACACGCTTTTTAAAGAAATCTCCCGCATTAGAAATAAGTATATCCTGTGTCGTGGGGGACTTTACATATATGAAACGGACACAAAGAACACCCAGACTCAGAACAACAATTTGTTGATCACACAAAGTGTCGTCCCATGTGGGGATCGGACCCACAGCACTTAGCGTAGTAGTAAGCGGCGTGGCGACCGCTTAAACCACTACGCCATCCGTGCAGTCTAGTCAGCTTTAAACATGGTTTTTATCTATTTTAGGCAACCACAATGTGTAACAGAAAGCACGGCAAGGTAGAGCTAGTACATTATGTAGCTTGAATGGGACCAAACGATATTTGACAAAATGCGGATATTTGAAACGCTCGTGGATACTCGTTCTTTGGCTATAGGCGTACGTCAAATGTTAAACTCAATTTAAACCGACTTACATGCTGTATGTATGTTTAAACATAATGTGGACACTTTTTTACAAGGTATTAATTAGAACTAAGAAGTGCCTCGGAGAGCACTTTAAGCCTTCGGTCTCAGTTGCCATACAAATATCTGTGGCAATCGTTACGGGTGGTTGGAGCCCTAAAAATTCTGGCAACAATCTTTCTACAGAAGTTCGATATCACCTAGTACTTAGGTTGTGAAGGTCTGATGAATCTAATTCTAATGTGAGAGGCCTATTTCTTTAATCTTTTCCTAGGATGTTACTTGTGCAATATAACTAATGTATAGTTATGTTTACTGTGCTAACTTTTATAACTATATAATTATTACCAAACGCAAGGAAATACCGCGATTATTAGGTAGGTCTGTGACCACGACCGGTGCAACCTGGTCGAAACCTCAGTCAATTCCGAACTTGACGTATGTTGGTAACAATTATGTTTGTTGTGCATTTTCGCGTGGATTTACGTAGATTACTAACTAAATACATTATGGACTTGATACTTCACAGGTGGAATTCGGATATAAAAATTTTAGTAAAATTCATGCGAACTCGATTATTCGATTTTTTTAAATCGACTATAGTTTTTTTTTTTATATGGCAAATTTTAAGATGATAAGTTCAGATCAGTCAAATCAGTTGTGGTTTGACGTATGTATGAGCTGTCTAACTAAACTATTACTTTGATAAATTAAAGCTATTTTTTTGTAATAATTAACATAGTCAATTGTAACCCAAATGTCTTCATGATAAAAGTAATTATTGTAAAAATTTAAATAAACATGTGTATATTAATACAAAAAATGCAAATTCCAAATATAATGTCAAAGTATGTGCATACTTATATTAACTAACACTAAATTTAAACTATACTTAACTAATATAAAAATATTGCAATGAGACTCAGCGATACATAACTCAGTCTAAAATGGACGGCCTTATTTTATGTAAAATTGAGTTTAAATGTGTCTGTAACTTAAAATTATTATAAATTACCGCCTTTGTGCAGTGAACTGTATATTTTAGAATCAGTTTCTACGACAAGTGCTTTATTGACGGTAACCTATTCAGGGTGTCTAAAGCTTTACGGATGAGTCAGACAGCGGGTGGGTCGACGATGCGACGAGAGCAAATAACGAACTACCTAAGAAGCTAGTCAAGCGGCCAACGGGTCAGAGCTGTATGACTCTATATTAATTAGTACCTTACAACATTTACAACCTATTTACTTAACGTAGCCATCTCGCCCAGCTCGCTGTCTGACTCAAACTTTCTTGTGAAACCCTATCCTTCTCTCCAAACACAATGAGAAGAAGATTTCAGAAGAAAACAGCTCTAGGCTAATAGTTTTATATAAATGTGATCTTTTTTAAAAGATGGAGTCTTATTTCAGCTACATATAGAACATACATTAACTTAACTACAAAACTGGCTAATTTAAAAATAAACAGATTTGTATATCTACTTAAACCTCAGTAATAAATTTAAAGAATCGTAAAATGTTCTTAACAAAGCTATTTTTCACACAAGACGCCAATGGTTTAAGTATTTTTACCATAAAATATAAGCAGAGTCCCAATCTTTCAATATAGGCAACGAGAGAGATGGATGGAATAAATAGATGTCTCATCTCTTTCTAGTCGAGCTCTATGATTGGCTGGGGAATAAGAAGGGCTAATAAGTAACCAATCGCAGCTTAGCTAAACAGAGACAGAGATAACTATCGGGGGTCCATATCTCTCTCTCTCGTTGCCTGTATCGCTTCCACTTACAAGCAGCTGTACCCCGTGTTCTCTCTAAGCTTATATCTTTATGATTTGTATAAATACTATAATAACTTTGACTCTAAAGACTAACACAATTATCAGTTTTAATTGATCTTTGTGTTAAAGTGGTGATATGCATTCTTTCTTGAACATTCCATAACAATTTAGTTTTTATAGACGAGAAAATTATTCAAGATCTTTAAATTGATAATTTATTATCTGTCACTAAGCATATTGGTGGCAGAAAACGAAAATGTTGTGTCTCGAAAATTTGACTAATAATTAATCAGATTAAAAAACCCTGTTCGATATCGTCTTGTCTTCCAATGACGCACAAAGTTAATTATTAAAAAATCATGATGATGCATTTTATAATAACTTTACAAGTTACGAATTTAGAATTAGTTTTTTGATGGTGTGATGTAAAATTGGATATTTCTAGATACTATGAAATCGTTTTCTGCCATTGAAATGCTAACTTTATACTCTCTTAATCAGGGATTCCCAAACTATTTTGAGCAAGAGACACCTTTTCTAATATGTACTGAGACCTCAGACCCCTACAGCTATTTTTTTCCCTTCAGCTAAAATATTAGTCATTCTTATAACAAGGTGGTATACGCAACACAACTAATACAGTATCTCGAAAGTTTCAAACTAATTCAAATAAGAACTTGTGTTAATTAACGGGAGTCGATTTTTAGACCTCGTCGACCCCCAGATTCAGTTTCCGTTTATATCGACTCCTTGGAAACCAATTGCGACCCCAAGGGGTCAATTTCGACCAATTTGGGAATCCCTATTCTAAATAATTCAACATTTTCTTTCAACATTGTGTCACTATATGGTAAAGGATTGTTTTAATTGACATATAGGTACAAATACTGTCGAATTTTGTAGTAACGTGAAAATAAAGAGGTACAACACCACACTACTAATTTAAATATGATAATTATTTAACTGTCTCGTCATGAGAATACAAAATACGCGATATATTATTATATTACACATAAACTGGTAGACGTTATGCTTTAAATCTTGAATACTATGAATTGAAAAATATATTTTACGTAGTATAAGAATTTTAGTAACAGATTTATTACCTTTTGGCTTTGAGTAATTTTTTCCCCCTTTATTTACACGCTACTACCATATTCCAACCCCGAATTTATAACCACTTACCTCAACCTAAATGCTACAAATAAAACGGCGAGCAGCATGACAACACTGCTCTGTACGGCCGCGGCGCCCGCAAGCCTGCACTTGAACATGTCTATACGTGTTTCCTTATCCATAATTATGTTCTGGAACTCCGCCTCCACGATCTGACCGTCATAGTAGGTGATCGGGTCCTCGAACGGGTATTCGAAGCCTTGAAGACACTCGCATTTGTAGCCTCCCGCTTCGAACCCTCGGCCGGATATTGGTACACACTGGAACAAAACGTTTACTGCAGTAATAGTAATGGCACAGGGTTCTGTTTTCACATTTAGACTCAAAGTTGGTTTATCAGGCGTTCAGATAATGCCGTCTAGTTGAGCAACTCTTTCCAGAAGCAAGAAAAATAAGTCTTTATAGGCTTCTCCCCTGGAGGAGTGACCTCGCCCCTCGAGGATACTTACCAGTTGTATGGCTACTCTCTCGCACTCCAGGATAATATAGGCGGCTGATTTCAATGATGATAATGACAAAAAAAAAATTGATTTATTTAAAACTTAATATTAATGAAAAATAATAAAGATTCATTTATTTTCTCACCACATTTTCAGAATTAATTAGAGTTAGTTAGTGTCACTAGATGATTGCGGGAGACTGGTGCCTAAACTAGGCGTTGGTCTGTATTTCAGGTCACCAGGGCCTCAATTCTGCTATTTACGCCAAGCCAGTGTCATACCACTGACACGCTATTGAGATGCCATCGAGTGGCCATTGGCATCGGTATAAATACGGTAGTTGAAAATATATTACGTTTTTTGAGGAAATTATTTATTTATTTTTATTATAGTAAATTATTAAAAGAAATAAATAAATTAAATTAAATTATTAAAAAAATAAAAGTATAAAAAAAAGAAATAAAAAAATATTGACATTAAAAAAATAAAATAAACAAATCATTTCCTTATAATTTGAGAATATATTTATTTTAATATTATTTTTATTTTTTTATGTTAATAATTTATTTCTTTTTTATAATTTTATTTTTTAAATTATTTATTTATTTCTTTTAATAATTTATTATAATAAAGATAAAAAAAATCAGTTCCTCAAAAAACGTAATAAATTTTTAACTACCGATATTTATCTCAATAGCGTGTCAGTGGTATGACACTGGCTTGGCGTGAACATAAAATAGCAGAATTGAGGCCCAGGAGTCCATTCCCGGTTTAGTTTCCAATTAGATTGTGTTGAGATCTATTTTACGGGGTGATCTCTGGGTTAGTTATTTTATGTGTACGTGTGGGTGCACATGCAAGTGTGTGTGATTCGGGGATTTCAATTAGTTTTTCGGTGTTTTCATAATCTAATGTCAACAACCATTCGGTCAATAGGTTTTTGCACATGTTGTACAAAGGCGGACTTAATGCCATGAGGCATTCTCTCCCAGTCAACCTTCAGGTGGTGTAGAAATATGATGCGGAAGGTGCAAAGATAGTGTTAAATGTGGTTAGAATTCTGTAAGGCAAGAGCAGAATTGGTTAAAGGAAGCGATATCATTGCCTGCCAATAATGTTGTAGACCCCATCCTTGCCAGCACATCACCGGAGCACCACCTCTAGAGAAATAACTCACGTGTAAAAGTGATCAAATACTACTCACTATAATCCCATCCACTTCTCTTGTACTGACTGTATCTAAACTATAGGAAAGGGGTGAAACGGAGAAAGAGACAGGTGGTTATTTAAGAGGAGTGTACTTACATATGACGAACTGGTTTCACACTTGTCCGTCCCTTTGAATGCATTCGGCACGTACGACCTGTCCGGGCACTGGTTGATGTCGAGGGACATCAGCGCCATCGTCACCGCCACCACACCTCTGCACACACAAAGAACATCCTGGTTTAGTTGTATTGTTACTTGAACATTAACATTATAGTTTAATATAGTTTCAAAAAAAAAAAAATTTTCTATCATCTGGAAAATTGGTTTTTGACGTGTAACATATTTTCTCTCTCCTTCTCTCTTATCTGTGGGTGTTATTTGAGAACAGGGACGGAATTGTGTAACAAAATACCGGAGAATATTATCATATGATTCATAAATCATTCATCTGTGACCTATATAAAAAACAACTGGGACTTATGATTACGATAGCGCCGTGAAGGTCTAAATCTAAAAAAAACGCCGTAAAGGGTATTTGGACCCCGGTCGGAAAGAAGATCCTTTCGCTTTTTGGTAGAAGTTTACTATAGTCATTATAAGCACTAAGTGTCGGAAAAAATACGACAAGGAACTTCGTTCCAAACAAGGTAGTCTTTGATAAGAAGTTTGGTTTTTTCTTTGCTTAAGTTTTGATGGCATTTATCTTTGTCTATGACCAAATGCCGGTAGTGATTTATCATAGATGAAATCGCAGTGACTGAAGCCTAGCACTACATCATATGATTATGATTCAAAAGTAGCAATAATTTCCATCATTACGGGGAAGCGTGCGTTATCTGATTTGACCAATGAGAGCTGATGTCAGAGTTGGCCGTCAGATTGCAATTGAGATGTCAGATATTACGCATCACATGCGAATACTGTAAGACTTTTTAGTTATCATCAGAACACAGATTTTTAAAACGTTTTTTTTTTAAGAATGCTTTTCATGTTGATGAACATTTCTGAACCGTTCGGTTTAATCAGTGATGACACTAAGCTTCTTAGCCGTTACTGAAACGTCGAATATCTAAAACTGTAACTTAATCTAATAATATTCGGCTCGATAATTGAAAACATTGATAATAACAATGCGACTGCAAGCCTCGCCGCTTCCTACAACGCCGAGTGTTGTGGGTTCAAACCCCACACGGGACGACACTTTGTTGTTCTGAGTCTGGGTGTTCTTTGTGTCCGTTTCATGTATGTTTGTAAAGTCCCCCGCGGCACAGGATTTGTGCCTAGTGCGGGAGTTGTCTTTATAAATAATAAAAAAAACAAAATTTCAATGTATTTGAATTAAACAATATGTCTGATTGTTTTATACGGATATGTCCGGCCAAAATCCGGATATCCATCAACACTCCTTTTTGTTATTACCTTTAATTTCATTTAAATCGTCTTTTTATCTGACAAAATTTTAAATTTATCGATATTCAAATAAATTTACACTCACTTGAATTCCAGTTTAACTTTAACACTGTCCCATCCGAAGAAAGGCGCTGCGTAAGTGATGACCCATTGTTTCACGTGTCCATTGCAGTCAAAGTACGGCCTTGTCCAGTGGCCATGCTTCAGACTAGCCGCCCTGTACGACGTAGGGAAACGCTCGTATCGCTTCAAGTACTTCCCTAATATATCATCACGGATCTTCATCTTCAGGAAGAATAGTTCCAAATTGTCGAAGTTGGTTGACCAGCGTTGTTTCAAGAATTGGAACCAGGGCTTATTAGTATACAGTTCCTCTGTAAAAAAATAATTAAGTGGTTTTAATTTGAGTAATTGTAATATCTATACAATAGTGTTATAAAGAGAAACATATTACAGCCTGATTTGCCACAGTAGTGTTAAAAAACTGCGCTTGAACATAACAAGAAAGTTATCGTAGCTGAATACTTAAACGGGTAAGAGTATAGTTACAGTCTGATCAGTACCTGATTTAAATAAAACATAACTAAATTTCCTTTATAGTCACTCATCATCACCATCACTTGTTACCTACGATACATTCCACTCACCATCATCAATCATCATCAACAGCCTGTACTAGTCCACTGCTGGACATAGGCCTCTCCTTAGAAAGGAGGTTTTGGCCTACTAAACCACGCTAGCCAGACGGGTTGGTATAGGGTTTGTTTCAAGATTTCCTTCTCTTTGCAGTGCTGTTGTCCTGCGTAGTTCGCTCCCTTAGTCGGCTCTTACGACACCGGGATGAATAGGGGTGGTAACACTTCGTATTCTTAATCCGTCACCACACGGACCCATCACAGCCACAATATATTTCTCATATCTTCGGCAGTATGGGCAGTTGTCATTGAGTCATACAGTAACGCAGACACATGACCGAGTTGATAATTTTGGCTTCATAATCAGCTTATCCGTCCACTTCGAAGACCTTCCCAAAGAGCGACAACTATCCCGGTCTTGAGCAGTCCATCCACTTCCAGTAACTTTCTTCAAGTCAAGTCCTACACTACGTTTGCCTGATTTTGTTTTGATTCTCACCTGTTTTTACGTATATGACCTCGTGGGTGTACAGCTACGTACACACACGAATACACATGAACTAGTACCCAAACAACAACTATATATCTATAAGCAACGCATGTATTCGTTATAATGTTTAAGTGACAGTTTTCGAAAATATTAAATTTCATTTTGATTTTACTAGTTTTTCATTTATTATAGTCTCTACCACATTAATGCTACTGAAAAGTTTAAAAAATATTTTTTGCAAACAGCCAACATTAGTTGTAATTATTATTAAATATTTTATTCTTTTAACCAACAACTCAAACAGTAATTTTAACCAATGTTTATTAAACCGAATTTCAATAAAATAAAATAGAGATGAAATATTAAACAAACACGTCTGCTCTGAGCGAGCTCCGATAACAGAATACCCGTCCGCATTACCGTCTGTAACTCACACGATGACGTCACATGTTGGGTGGTGGGAGACGATACTCCGAAAAATAATAATAACTTGACACATGTCACACACGGCCGTCTGATCCCAAACTAGGCGGAGCCTGTACTATGGTAACCAGACTGCTGATATACATACCTAAATATGTCTTAATACATACATATTATAAACAAATTACTCCCAGACTACAAACAACTATTTCTCCTGGGTGGAAATTATTCACACAATTATTTCTCCTGGGTGGGAATCAAACCACGGTTTCCGGCTTAGCAGTCAGGGTCACGAACTACTAGACCAACAGGCCCATCCAGTTGACGGATTAAGGGTAAGCGAACCTGGCCTGTTCGAAGTAATATAATACATTCAGGTGTCATTCATACAGGTGTCAGGCAAGCGGACGGCGATAACATAAACCAGGCAAAACTATTGCGTAGCGCAGTTTTTAAAACTGACAAAATTGTCAGAAAGATGATGGCAATGATGATGATTTCTGTTGAGCCAATGAGTCATAAATCCGCTCACAAACACAGTGTGTCAGTATTAAGATACATATTTAAAACTTTTGTTTGTTGTATTGTTATTAAAAATTATTATACCTATAAACGTTGCGTATTTAATATATATATAAGAAAACTTGACAAAATAATAAAATTATTAAAAGAAAAAACAAGCCGAATAGTCGAATCTGACGGTCAAGTTATGTCGATAACTATACAATTATCACATTAACAGCCTTTAATAGTCCACTGCTGGACATAGGCCTCTCCTTAGAAAGGAGGTTTTGGCCTACTACACCGCGCTGGCCAGACGGGTTGGTATAGGGTTTGTGTCAAGTTTTCCTTCTCTCAGCAGTGTTGTTGTTCTGCGTAGTTTTTTTCCCTTAGTTTACTCTTACAACACCCACGGGATGAATAGGGGTGGTGACAATCTGTATTCTTAATCCGTCACCACACGGACGTGACCCTATAGAGGAGGTATAGTAGACCAAAACCTATTTTCTAAGGAGAGACCTATGTCCAGCAGTAAACTATTAATACTACTACTACTAACAACACCCAGACTCAGAACGACAATTTGTGGATCGCACAGTGTCGTCCCATGTGGGGATCGAACCCACAACACTCAGTATAGTAAGAAGCGGCGTGGCGACCGCTTAAACCACTACGCCATCCGTACAGTCATTTCCGTATATGAAGGCAATAGTATTGTTCATGTTTTAATGTTTTCCAACAGTTTGAATGGACTAAGTCTCACTTACCTGTGCTATTGAGTCTGGCGAGGTCCTCCAATTTATACTTCCTAGTATTCAACTCGTTTTTGTAAGCAAACGGTGCGAAGAAAGTTCTGTTTGTAAACTTATTTCTGTCCCAGTATGTACCTGTAAACAGACAACATTAAATACACATTTTTCTACAATGGAACTGTAAGAAAACCGTATGAAATATATATATATTTTTTTTTACGGAAGAGGGGGGCCGGGCAAACGAGCAGACGGGTCACCTGATGGAAAGCGAGCACCGCTGCCCATGAACGTCTGCAACTCAGGAGTCACAAACGCGTTGCCGGCCTTTTAGGAATGAGTACGATCTTTTCTTAAAAGTTTGAAGGTCGTATTTTTTTTAAGAAAAGACACACCAGTTAGAAAATTTTCCCCTTTTTTGAAATACTTATTTTTTTACTTAATTTTATGACAGTTGTGAGATCGAAAGTAGATCGGAACTGAATTGAGACCGAACTTTTATCACAAGAATTGGTATTCAGGTCTTTTATTTTGGCTTGAGGTGTACAATATAAAGGTAATCACAGTGAAGCTCAGTTTTTGAAACCATTAACAAAATGTACACTTATGCCAATAAGCTGACTCATTTACTTATAATCACATCAGAATGCTCTAATTGAACAAAAAGAGATTTTAAGAGATTAAACGACTGGTCATGGGAGAGCAAAATGGGCCAGCTCTACCGCAGTGATACCACGGACTGACAGAAAACCGCTGTTATCTGTCGTTGCTTTTCAGCGAGTGAGGGTATTAGAGCCCAACCGATCGATATCCAGCCGACTAAAACCACACCACGCGCCTAAAATGGCCCTCCCATTTTAGGTGTAGTTGTGGTTTTAGTCGATTCTGGAATCTGAAATTTGGAACTGAAAAGGATCTCACTCACTCTCTTCTTAAAACCGCATTGGCGATTAGCTGAAGGGGTTATTGTATAAACTGTGAGTCTTTCTCGGAATTTAAAAGGCGTTTGGGAAAATTGTAAGCTTAATGTTGTTTATTGTTTGTGTTTTATTTTTTCTCCTAATTTTAATTTAATTGCACTTTCAGTTTATTGTAAATACTAAGCACTTTTCTTTTTTAGGCTCTATTGTATCATAAAATTATTATTTACTTAGTTGAAAATAAGCATGCTGTGGTCTCCTGTAATTGAAGGAGTACACATACCAATACCCGTGTGAAATGTATTTTTGATATTTTGTGTACATCCTTTGTTGGTGATCCTTAAATAAATAAACATTAGTAATACGTAGACTGTTAGGAGACTGTTACATCAATGTAGAGCCTAAATCGGGTTTTTTAGGTTGTAAGAACCCACTAAGAAAATATTTATGGAAACTTTGTCATTTTCAAAGTTAGACACACACACACAATAAGTAGTAGAAAAAAAAAAGTTGAATATTCTCTTACCTGCTGACCATATCTTAGTATCGCCGAGAACCACCGCTAGAGTTTCTCCAATCATCTGATCTTCGGTCAAAGGCTTGTCAGCTACACGATTGCCGCTAAACACTTCCTTCGGATCTGACACCTATTTTAGAACAAATAAATTCGAGATTTTATATTGTGATGTTTCTTAAAAATAATTACGTTTTAAATGCGTCGACATCAAACCCTGTACCAACGTGGCATAGCAGGCCAAACCTCCTTTCAAAGGAGAGGCCTATGTCCAGCAGTGGACTATAAAAGGCTGTTGATGTGATGTGCGCGTGATGGGTATCGAACCCCTGACTTACAGTAGTTCATCAATAAAACTAAATTGCTAATAATACCTGTAAAAATGCGCTGATGAAGTTAGCCAGTCGCAGCGCCATCTTAGCCTGGTTCTCAAATTGTTCCTCGTGTCCGAATGCGATGTCACCGTTGAGCACCAAATCTGATGGATTGTACCTGTACATAGACATAGCTTTTATTATTATTTATTGCCTAACTATATATAATGCAAAACATCAGGAGAAGAAGGATTTAGTAACCCTGACTGCTAAGCCGGAGGTTGTGGGTTCGATTCGAGGACAAATTATATTTTGTTCCTTAGTCATTGATTCAAGGCGATCATCTCAGTTGGCTCAGTGGCACTGACACTCATGGCACAATATTACTATACTCAATACTCAATATATTTATTGCATTCCACAATGTTTACTTAGATGGTACTCAAATATATGATCAGATCATCATGGACCCTGTCGGGCACAGCAATAGATGAGAGAGGGAGAGATAATACAAGCTAATAACAATAATCATACTTCAGTTTTTTATGTACATGCTTAATTTATTGATTGCTCAGATATTCATTGACGCTGTAATAGCATTTTTGTAGTAATAATTGTTTTAATTTATTTAAATATATATTTATTATGGTTTCATTTCTAATTTCTTCAGGTAATTTATTGTAAATTTTGATCGACATTACTTGAGTGCTATTTGAATGGATTTGGAGTCGGGATGAGGGTAGGTTTAGTCTAGTCCTATGGCGTAGTGTGTAGTTTTTTTGTTTATCCTCTCTTTTTGTAAACAGATGTTGATTTTTTCGTACGAATTTACATATTTCCAAAATATAAATTAATGGCAGTGTTAGAATGTTGTGTTCTTTAAAGTATGGTTTACAGCTATCGGTGTCCTCTATATTGACCAGAATTCTAATTAGTTTTTTTGAAGTGTGAAGAGTGTTGGAGCATCTGTGCTGTTACCCCATAATATGATGCCGTAACTAAACCAGGAAAAAGCGTATGCGTAATAAGTGGTGAGAGCTGTTTGAAGGTCGGTGGTCTTTTTAACTAATTGTAATTATACATATATTTTTCACTTTTTATATACACATTATTCCATTTGGAAAGGATCGATTGCTGATATATTATAATCTAAAAGAAATAGGTAAGTCTTCATGTGTTTTGATCACGTTTACAGTTTTTTTTTTATATTTAATTTTTTATATTTAATATTTTTTTCAATATATCTATCATATCACGCCAAAAAGTTTTTCAAGCAATTGAAAAGCAAAGAATTCAGAGACTATTTAATGAGGTAAGCTAGTAACTTGTATTATATCTCTCTACAAGATTTAGGTAACAACATTTCTGTCATTCAGATGACATTGGTCATTGGGAACAGAAAGAGACACAAAGAAAACAAGATTGATTAGCATGTTGGTCCACCCCACAGTGATCTTGATTGCTAAGCCAGAGTATATGGGTTCTATCACCATCAACATAAATAATTGTCTGACTGTCTATAACTAGCTGTTCCCAGCGTGCTTTGGAATGCCACGTAAAATATATTCCTTTAAAAACAAAATAAAACAATATTAAACAATTTAATAAAACAATTTAAATAATATAGGTATAGGATTCAACGGGTCTGTTAGTCTAGTGGTTAGTAGTGACCCTGACTGCTAAGTTGTCCACCCGGGATTAATATTGTGTGATGAGCACAGTCATTTGTTCTGTGTCTGGGTGTAATTTATCTATAATATGTATGTATTTGAAAATATTTAAGTATGTTTATCAGCAGTCTGGTTACCATAGCACAGGCTCTGCCTAGTTTGGGATCAGACGGCCGTGTGTGAGATTAAAGAAGTAATAAACAAAAAGACCCGTCTATATCTACAACAATAGTTATCGAAATATGCGGTTTAGGCGTGAAAACTTAATAAACAGACAGGTTTTTTTATATCTATACTAATATTATACTAAACAGTTTGTTCCGTTGAACGCACTAATCTTAGGAACTACTGGTTCGAATTTAAAATTTCTTTGGACAGCACATTTGTACTGGAAGACTATAGGCCATGTAACATTTAAAACGGGGCAAATTCGTTCCTTTCCAGAGACGTAGACAAAGTTGCGTGGATGAGCTAGCTATATTTGGACTACATAATTTTTGAGTGCAGTGAGCTAAAATTTTTCCACAATATCCATCATCATTATCAGCCTATCGCAGTCCACAGCTGGACATAAGCCTCTCCTCTGCAATATCCATACTAATATTGTATCTATTCTAAAATTATAAATGCGAAAGTATGTCTGTCTATCTGTCTGTTACCTCCTCACGCTTAAACCGCTTAGCTGATTTATATAAAATTCGGTATAGAGATAGTTCTAGTCGTAGGATAGTTTTTATCCCAAAAAACACACTTTAAGGGGGTGAAAAGAAGGGTGGAAGTTTGTATTGAAAATCAATAACCACTTAACCGATTTTGATGAAATTTGGTATGTAGATAGTATGATTTTTAGAAAAGACAGGTTACTTTTTACCGCCATAACCGGTTATTAGCTTTATTATTATAGCCAGACTCACTTAGAACAGTTATTGGCCTGTACACCTCTGATAAAGTTGAGTACTTCGTAGACATTAACTCGCTCCGTGTGCAAGGCTTCAGGGCCGCTGGTGGCGTTCACGTATTCGTGGTAATGATCCATGTACATAGCACGGAGGAAGGGATGCGCCCGCTCCCAACGAACGGGTAGACGTTGTACCCCTGTATATAAAAACACATTTATTTAATACGGAGTGTGACCACCCCTATTTATCCCGTGGGTGTCGTAAAAGCCGACTAAGGGAGCAAACTACGCAGGACAACAGCACTGCAAAGAGATGACAACCTTGAAACAAACACTATACCAACCCGTCTGGCCAGCGTGGTATAGTAGGCCAAAACCTCCTTTCTAAGGAGAGGCCTATGTCCAGCAGTGGATTAAGTGGGAAAGCCCTTTCTGAAGATTACAGAGATGAGAAATTCGTCCATTTCTAATATAATCTTTAGTATATAGATGAGCAGTAAAAAGTTGCCAAAACAAAACGTAGGTGGTGTTATCGACGCCAGGGTCCTCCCAGAGTAAGGCGCCTGAGATAACCGTCCCGGTTTTTAGTGGAAATGTCACATACTCTTGGCTCCTGCGTCCTCAAGGAGCCGAAGATCCGAAGAGATTTCCCACCAAATCTACTACTATCCGGCTTCCAGATCGCCATAAAAAAAGGGGCATTGGCGGTAAAAAATATTCCCAGCAGTAACTAGTAGTAGAAATATCTTATATATCAAAATAGAGTTGTCAAAGTATACGTAGACTTTATGGATACTCACAGCCAATCTTTTTACAATCGAAGTTATTATAATACTGGTCGGAGGTGGCCCGCTCTATGATCTCGCCGAGGTACGGCCGCCGTACAATGCTCGGCAGCCTGAAGCCGGGCGCGCAACGACACTGGTAACCGCCGCGACGGAAACCCCACCCGTGGAGAGGTTCACACTAGAACAAAAGCATTTACAATAAATATTATAAAATAAAAAAATCCGTGTGGTGTCGTTGGACACCCGATAGGAACGAAGTTGTGACTATCTAGTAAAACTGATTCGACACGATTTTAATTACAACGCCATCTATGAAAGCGGCTATTACCTACATATTTTTCAGTTGGTTTCTAATTAAAACAATTTATACATTGGTAAAATCTCCTTGAGAAATGATTTCCTATCTATTCGATAGATGGCGCTGAATGACTGACAAGTGACAATTCAAAATAAATACTGAGATGAAAAGTAATGATTTCCTATCTATTCGATAGATGGCGCTGAATGACTCTTTCACAACGCGCGATAAGGAACTTCGTTCCAATAAACTAAACGTGGTTAACGTTTTGTTATGTGATGCGTTGATGGCACAGTTGGACAAACACTGCCTAATGTCTTTTCTCCTCCTTATTTTGATGAATTGAAAAATGAAATAAAATAATCAATCAATACGTAGTAGTAAAACAAGTCCGTGTAGTAACGGATTAAGAATACGGAATGTCACTACCCCAATTCATCCCGTGGGTGTCGTAAGAGCCGACTAAGGGCGCAAAACAACGCAGGATACCAGCACTGCAAAAATAAGGAAAACTTACACAAACCCTATACCAATCCCTCTGGTCAGCGTGGTGTAGTATGCCAAAACCTCCTTTATAAGGAGAGGCCTATGTCCAGCAGTGGACTATTAAAGGCTGTTGATATTTGGGCAGATAATTGGATGGTTACTTTCGTACAGTTCGTAGTTATTGTCATATGTGAGTACATTTCATTGATAGTTTCTGTAACGGACTGCTTTTCTAAGAGTCGCGGGTTCGATTCCCGCTCAAGTCAAACATTTGTCTGCATGAACTTTTAATGTTTGATTTGGTCTGGGTGTTTCTATGTATAATATGTATGTATTTACAAAAAAAAGGTATATATGTATTTATTTCAGTTGTCTAGTAGCCATAGTACAAGCTCTGCTTAGTTTGGGACTAGATGGCGTTGGTTGAATGTGGTACAATATTTATTATTAATATTATTATTATAATCAATATATTTAAAAATGTTATGTTGGTTTGTGTACGCTTCAAAAACTCAAAAGGTTACCCGATTGAGCTCAAATTTGGACACGATATGCAACACGCTTCAAACATGGTGCTTATCTATTTTTATCAAATTCTAATTACTTTAAGAACTTTAATTATAATTATTATTGTGATATAATAATACTATGGCATAACTTCTCTGTTATCGGCCTCTCGGCATGCAAACTCGACCTCAAATATCTTTATTTCATAAAAAATAACTTGAAATCGTCTCTTGTGTAGACTCTAAAGTCATAGATCAACACACACAATAGCAACAATCTCTGTTTTGTCAAATATTTGGCAAACAAAATATATACGTATAGAAAATCTCTTATATGCCTGTGCCGATCTACAAACGCACATTTCCAAGGGGTTGAGCCTCATGAGAAGAAAGGGCAAACAAACTCACAGCCACTCTTTTCAATCAACAGATAACAAAGGCATCATTAAATAAAATATCTACAAAATAAGTTGGCAGAAAGGTCACATCGCTAGCACCCATGTGTTTTGATATTTATGTATTTATAAATGTGTATATTCATCTATTGTATGTGTATACTTGAGACCTCTATGTATATATGTAGTGATGAATATAGTATTTTATTTATAGTATTTATAGTAGTAGTGTATATATGTAAGTTAGATTTATCCTACATTAATAAGTTTAATATAAACAAGTCAAATTCTCTGTTTTCTCTTGCACCTACAGCTTCATTTTTCTACATCACCCAAAGGTCGACTGGCAGAGAATGCCTTGGGCATTAAGTCCGCCTTTGTACAACTAGTGCATTAAGTTAAATAAATAAAAAAATAAAATAAAATAAATATACACAACATACTTTTTACGTTTATAAATTACATAGTTTAGGAAATTTCCGGACCGATACGACCTTCAAACCTTCAAGAAAAGAGCGTACTCCTTCCTTAAAGGCTGGCAACGCGCTTGTGACTCCTGAGTTGCATGCGTTAATGGGCGGCGGCTGTCGCTTTCCATCAGATGACCCGTCTGCTCGTTTGCCCCCTATTCCATAAAAAACATCATTGTCGACATTATTTTTCAACCACGATGTGCCACAGCGAAGCTTGCCAGGGTACAGCTGGTAAAAAATATATATTAGAGATTTATCAAGCCGTTCTAAATTAAAAAAAAAAAAACCTCAGTCGTTTCTTTGCAACGTGCCGTCGAAGCGAATTTATTAGGTCGATCGTTACCCAAACTGGGTGGACATTGGTTTATGTCTATCCTTTCATAGTCCATCTCCATCACTACTGCTGCCGTGTACCTGATGGATAAACAAACAAACTTTTATTAATAACTACTTTTATAGTACACATTTATTAATTCTTGAGTGGCAACCTCCTTTTTTAACCGACTTCAAAAAAGGAGGAGGTTCTCAATTCGACTGTATTTTTTTTTTTATGTTTGTTACCTCATAACTTTCGACTGGGTGAACCGATTTTGATGATTCTTTTTTTATTGGAAAGCTGGTGCTTCCCGTGTGGTCCCATTTCAATTTGGTCTAGTTCTGACCATGGAATCCATGAGAAAACCATTGAAGTCGGTTATTTTTTGTTAAAATTTTACTTGTTTCCTAATTAAAGCCAAGTTACACCTTATACAATAAATATCAGTCAGAAAAAGTCCGTGGCCGATCCACAGGACTTTTGGCGGGCGTTCCAGAGGTTAGCCATAACAAACAGACAAATAGTTTTTTTTTTAATTTATGTATGTGTAAAACTTGTTATTGTGACGGTAGAAAGAGACACTGAATTATTTATATAGAGGTATAGAGATTATTTATATTATGACGTCATAAAATAAGAATGCAGATGTTCATTTGCATGGATGCTTCGAAAAAGCTGTAAGTACACTAATATTTGCTGTATAATGGTTGACAAGCATAGACTAGACTAACAGCTCGGCCGTATTCGCTAAGGGTGCTTCTACACGATGAATGCTGGAGAACTTGCGCAGGTTATTTGCTTCGCTTAAAGGACTAAGCGGGTACTGCGACTCGAGCATGTATCAGCGGGAGCCACCTGCGCAAGTAACCCGCAAGTTCCGCGGTGTGCGCGGTTGCGACCCGAGCATGTAACACGCGCGAACAGCATGCACATTATTATATCTATCTTCCTTTCCAGCCGTTTTCGGCCATTGTGACTGCTGCTAATTATTAGCAGGTAAGCTAGGGTGATCAGCTTTCGCATGTGCCCTTTGATGGCTACAGTATTCAATCTTGTGAGGATATCACCGACAAAGTTGTAAGAAGTGGCTGCTGTTGGTTTTGCCTTAAGAGCATCGCGTTTTGCATCCAGTTCGGATTTTCTGTGCTCTTTAAAGTCATGAACTTTGATTTTCACGAAGCGCCTCCATTTAGGGCGGCAACTGGCCTTTTCCTTCCATTTCTGAGGATCAATATTGCACCTCTTCATGTGCCTGAACATGAACAACTGGCCGATTATTATATCAACCAAACGTACAGGTAACTCAAGCATGCTACTGAAGCAAATGACCCGCGTCTTTGCCCGCTCCGGCTACTTCCACCGAGTAGAAGCACTCTTAATATAGGCTATTGGTGTATCGAAAGAAATATAGTAGTACAAGAGTATGTAGAGTTAATAATGTTTTTTATTAGAAGTGTATATATTTTACTCGAGTGTACTTTAAAAAAAAGTAGAGGCGTGAGGGTTGTGCCCGACATTAAGGCGTGGCTTTGCATCTTGGTAATGAGTACCTGTCGACCCCGTAATATGTATTTTTGTATCAAAGTATGTTTTTTGTTTAAGTGTTTTGTAAATTAGTCACAGGCGTGGTTTATAAACCATATGATTTATCGCATGTGATTGTTATATAATTCCATCCCTAGTATATATATAATATACTAGGGCTGCACGGATGACGTAGTGGTTTAAGCGGTTGCCACGCCGCTCACTACTACGCTGAGTGTTGTGGGTCCGATCCCCACATGGGATGACACTTTGTGTGATTCACAAATTGTTGTTCTGAGTCTGGGTGTTCTTTGTGTCCGTTTCATGTATGTTTGTAAAGGCCCCCGCGACACAGGATTTATTCCCAGTGCGGAGTTGTCTTTTAAAAAAGAAAAAAAAAAACTTTTATTTTTGTTATAGAGAGCAAACAAGCAGACAAGTCACTTGATAGTAAGGTACCGCAGCCCATGGGCAGCTGCAACTATAAGTCACAAGTGCGTTGCCGCTGATTCAGTCCCCCGCAGAATTAGGGGTGTGTTGCTACTGAACCCTCACTCACACGGCAATAGCTGTGAAGCCGTGCCATGATCCCGGTCAAGACGGCCCAAATATGCCAAAGCTAGACTCTCCCACGGATAAAACTGAAGGCCAAGTCTCGTAATAAAAGTTCGGCCAAAATTCAGTTCCGATCAACCCTCGAACTGTAATAAAAGGTATTTTCGTAGTAAAGTATTAAACATTCAACGTTGTGTGATTATTTCGTATTGTAATCATAAATTGAATCGGTATTCTGCTAATTTTAGTAATACCTACTTTACTATTTTATTTTGGCCGAACTTTTATTACGAATATTGGCCTTCTGATACATTGTGTGATGTATTTCGAATAAACATAATGGTTACGTAAGCTCTCAATTAAATCGTTAAAAAAAACAACTCTCAACACATACACATGATTAGATATCTATAGTTCGCGACCTGCGGTTCAAGCACCTTTAATCATAACATAACTTAATAACCGCAAAATAAAAAGATAACTGTTAGATAGAAGTTCTTAATAGCAAAATGCCACTTACACAAGGTTTGGTAAGTAAGAGTTAACAGTTGATAAAATACAAAAAAAAAACCAATTCCTAATTTAAAAACTAAGAGATTTATCTGTTCATCATCACCATTTTTAAATACATGTATAGTACACAAAAATAATTCTATAACTATAGGTTCAAATATATACGCTTGCACACATTTTGTTATAACTGAAATGTAACCCGCGAGTCGACAGTATGTTTCAAAATAACTCTTTAATTAAATAGATATATTGACAGAAAGCCTAATTTATCGTAATTAAAGAAATGATAAATACCAATTTATTTTATTTTCCCTTAAGAAAAATAGGATTTTTATTTGTAAGTCACGTGATTGAAAACACCAATCAGATGTGACGTAATCGTACAATTTTTAAGGGGCTTTTGGACGATAGTGACTACGTTATGTATACATATTTAAATAAATAAAATATTTTTTGTCTGTCTGTTGGTGGTAATCTTCAAAACGGCTGTTAAGATTTTGATAATATTTTGCTACCAGGTAGTTGTCTATATAAGGAGTAACTTAGGCCATTTTTCCTCTCAGAAAACCTAATAAAATTTTGCCCAGTCCGGGAATCGAACCCGAGGCCTCATGTACTACAGTCGCGTACCGTAAAAAGGCAGTGCTTTTCAAATTCCACGCGAAGTGACGCGAACGGAGTCGCGGGTACCAGCTAGTATACAATAAAAGTAAATACTTACGTAGGATATTCAATATGTCTGAACTGGGTATGACGCGGGTATATATCGGCGACGGGCGAAACAGCTGCCACAAGCCACTTATTCAATCTTCCACAGTCAAAGTATGGACGGGACCAATTGACGGGACCAGGAACCTGTAATAAAAATATATTAATATAGTGCGCTCTTCCCCGGTTTCCTGTTAAACACTTCCCTCCCTTTTTAAGGAATCACTCCCAAAGAGCGAAGAAAAGGAGAGGAAAGATGTTACAAATAAAAATACGAATGAAAATTTACTTTTTACACTTTCATGCCTGAAATACTTAATCAATCGTCATCATTATTAGGGGTACGCCAGGTTCCACGGCTACTGGTACCCAACACAGCGTGTGGATTACCAATCCACTGGTGGGTGGTATCCGAGGACATTCGCGCTCAGAAAAATAAGGAAAAAAAAAATAAGTTTAACGAAAACTTAAGACTAATGGTGATAAAAAAATGCGCTACTTTGAATTAGAAATAACTCATGTGGAAATAGGTAAGTAGTAGGCATTTTTAATGGATAAGTCTAAAAAAGATAAAAGTGTGTTAAACGCACCTACTTGGTGACCAGTAATGTTTGCGTATATTCATAATAGATTGATTTTAACTAACTAAGCTAACAACAGATCATTTAGTATCATAACATTGTGTATTGTTAAGTTTTCTACAGTACAATATGTACTGTATGTTGATAGCTTCAAATATCATTTTTCAGAGTAGTCTTGTATGACAGATAACACTCCATTCTTTTGAAGTGCAATTTCTAATGGATTTATGCAACAGAAAAAAATGTCAAATGAATAATATAGAAGGCCTCTGTAAATCCACAAATTGTTGTTTGAAGTCTGAGTGTTCTTTGTGTTAGTTTCATGTATGTTTGTAAAGTTCTCTGCAACACGGGATATTTTTTTTAGTCACACTAGGAATATATCCCGTGTAGCACATGAAAAAAAATACAATATCCTGGAAGAGGCAGTAATCACACTCCTCAATCTTGCTACTTGTAAGCAGTAGCAGAACTTGAATTTAAACTTAAAGATTATCATCAAAAGGTGTGTAGCTCAAAAAATTCCATTCTATTAGTTGTTCTTTTTATTTAATAACATGATAGTACGAGATCCCGCTGCAGGATTGGTGCGTTCATCGATTTTTTGTTTAAAACCAAATTTTTATGTTTATTTATAATTAGAAGAATATACATTTACTAGGGTGCCTATCAAAATTTGGCCGCATTATTTTTAATTAAATTATTTTTAACTGATTTTTGGTTAAAAATTTCGTTTATTTATTTTTTAAATAAAATAACGTCTACATCACGGTAATTAATATGAAGATTCTAAAAAATCACGGTTGCCGTTGCGCACCTGGCCGCACCTCTTTGCAGCCTGGTGTAAACAGGTATGATTTCGATAAATTTATACGTTTATAACGTATATTTATTAATTATATGTCAAATTGAAGCTAATTTTTTTCTATTAATTATCATATATGGTTGCTTAATTAAATCTGGCCGCAAATAAGGGTTACTGGCTGTTAAAGATGATAAATATTTAAGGTAGAGTGAAAGAGAGTTAGCGCGTAACGTCATTTGTCAGACAAGGACAGCGGTTGCCGGCTGTGCGACGCTTTTAAGCCATTGCGCATGCGTAGAATGTTAGTGTTCTCAACCACCGGGGAGTAATAGAGAGGACTTATAATATTTATCATCTTTAACAGCCAGTAAATTTATACGTTTATAACGTATATTTATCAATTATATGTCAAATTGAAACTAATTTTTTTCTATTAATTTTCATATAAGGTTGCTTAATTAAATCTGGCCGCAAATAAGGGTTACTGGCTGTTAAAGATGATAAATATTATAAGTCCTCTCTATTACTCCCCGGTGGTTGAGAACACTAACATTCTACGCATGCGCAATGGCTTAAAAGCGTCGCACAGCCGGCAACCGCTGTCCTTGTCTGACAAATGACGTTACGCGCTAACTCTCTTTCACTCTACCTTAAATATTTATCATCTTTAACAGCCAGTAACCCTTATTTGCGGCCAGATTTAATTAAGCAACCATATATGATAATTAATAGAAAAAAATTAGCTTCAATTTGACATATAATTAATAAATATACGTTATAAACGTATAAATTTATCGAAATCATACCTGTTTACACCAGGCTGCAAAGAGGTGCGGCCAGGTGCGCAACGGCAACCGTGATTTTTTAGAATCTTCATATTAATTACCGTGATGTAGACGTTATTTTATTTAAAAAATAAATAAACGAAATTTTTAACCAAAAATCAGTTAAAAATAATTTAATTAAAAATAATGCGGCCAAATTTTGATAGGCACCCTAGTAAATGTATATTCTTCTAATTATAAATAAACATAAAAATTTGGTTTTAAACAAAAAATCGATGAATGCACCAATCCTGCAGCGGGATCTCGTACTATGACACTTGACCTCTCATATCAAATAATACTTGTTCAAGATACTTAAAAACATTCTCTAAGCACAATAAAAAAAAGTGTGTGTGTGTCAGCTCAGACACATGATTGGAGTTTAGTCGCTAAGAACGTTTCAGCTGCACACAAATATACAAGTTACACACAAAATACGTATTCATCATCATCAATCATCATCAACAGCCTATACTAGTCCACTGCTGGACATAGGCCTCTCCTTAGAAAGGAGGTTTTGGCCTACTATAGCACGCTGGCCAGACAAGTTGGTATAGGGTTTGTTTCAAGTTATTGAGATCATTCAATCACAAAATTTTACTCTTCATTTTTTTCATACCGGGCACCTTATATGACAATTGATTCATAAGGAGTTAACTCCAAAAATGGATTATTACTTATTAGTTAATCTTAAATTTTGTACTGTCAATATTAGTTTCATTTATGAGGAGGTACAGGGTACATTTCCCACTTTCATTAGTGTTAGACTTTATAACAATAATAATAAGTCAAGCCGTTCTCAAGTATTGTTAAGCTTATCAACAAACATTTCATTATTTTGAAGAAATGTGTAGTTAACTAACATAAATAGAAATTAAATACTAAATTTAATTTCTATTTATGTTGTTTACCTACAGATTTTTTTGAAAATACTGAAAAAAATAATTGTAAAATAACATAAAACATTTACATTTTCCTTGTCAACATTTAACAGATTAATTACAATAAAAAATGCTTAGAACAATAAATAAATTTTTACTTAAAACCGCAAGTTCAATATCTAAATAATTACAGCAATTAATTTGATTACAATACAATACTGAAAAACTTTGGTGAACCTTATCAGTTTCCTGTTCCTTACATTATGAAAAAAAAAGTTTAAAATTGCTTACATTAGCATTTTTGTAGGTATTTATATCGTGTAAAGATATTAGTTTAAATGTTTTTTATTTCGTTTTGTGTAGCTACTTTTAACCCCTATTTCATGTAATAACAAAAAAAGTCAAGGTTCTTTTTTCAATTTTTCTTGTGTGACATTTTGAATTAAAGAATAATACATACCTCATCATTGCCAGGAGGTCCATGGAACGTGAATGTCTCATTAGTATTATTAGCATATCTGATCTCCACTTGGTAAGTTGTCTTTGTGTCATGACGGTTAGCAACTCGGTCAGGCAACCATTTCTTATACCACTCATTAATCCTATAGAACTCTGATGTGTAATCCTTTGACAAACTTTCTGGATCGAAAGCACCAAGATCTTCAACATGGAATGTGTTCAAAGTGGATATCTTCTGTAAGTGCACTGGGTCATTAAAATCATCAGCTCTGAAGGCTCTTGGTGCAAATCTAGGTAAAGTTTTATTGAAGAAGCCTCGGTACGAAGAAGTGTACGACATATTCGGCGAAAAATATATCGAACTGGCATTGATGTACGGATTAGCTGACACATCGGCTACAGACGAAAGGAAATAGTACATCATACCAGGATCGTAAGTATCGTTAATAGCTGGTCGAATAAATCTCGATTGGAGGATATAACTCCAAAAAAAGGCTCGATTCATTGCCATGTTGTGTAAATGCAACATCGCTGTACGATTCGGAAACACGGGGTTTATGTTGATTTCTTTCACATCTGGATGGTGGGAAACCGAGTCCTCGGGTAAGTATAGGTCATCTAAATGTTTGATGATGCAGTTGTCGGCATTAATCTTGTCAACTTTTCCACGTATCTCGTCAAAAGCATCTCGTATTTGCCATTCATACTGGCCGGCCACACCCCACAGTAAAACCAACAGTGATACCACTAATAATGTAATATGTAGTCTCTCCATGATGTTATTTTCTCCTTTTATATTCACTAAACAAATCTATTTAATTGACTCAATACATTTTACTGGTATAAAAACTAATATAAACAAGAATCCAACTTGTAACGTCTACTACCGACTCTCATTCATAAACGAATGTTTTGAAAATGCTTGCTATGCTATTGCTGTGCTATGCCTACTTGTCAAACAGATAGTGATAGTGATGTTACAGACAAATAGTAAATACTTTGGCACAGAACAAACATTTAAAGTTCAGATGCTGGTGAAGTTTAAAAAAATGGTTAAAAATTATACCTAATCCTTATAAACTAACTAAGAATTAATTTACTAAGCTAGATAAGAACTAACTTTTTATCGCTACCTCACTTTTGTAAAAAGTATATTTCTGTGCCTCTGGAAAATTAGGTTATTAAACTGTTTTTTTTTGTAATGTAAAATATATCCTACGCTTTGCCTTTTTCTGTATCCCTACTAGCATATGTATAACAAATGAGTTCACAATATATTAGCTACCATAATATTAGTTAAGTTACTATAGAAATAGAAAACAAAACTTGGTAGGCAAATTAAGGAAAAACAAAAGCCCAGGCCCGTGCAATGATTGTACCCAAATTGTTAGAGTGGATGGTATTCCACTCCCTGCCTATTGCTTCTTCAGGAACAATTTAGTTTATCTATTAAGCGATCTAACGTATATTGAAAACTATAATCCGACTAACTATAAACTACAACTTTATCCGACTTGTAAAAATATCTGAAAAGATTTACTTACAGAAATAAATATCATTTCATTTCATTATAGATAAAGCCAATGACCCCCTTTGGGCCCCTTTCAATGATCAGTGGCAGCAATAACTTCAAAAGTGTTTAGACTGAACGCAAATGTTCATTTAACGACTTTAAGTGTTTGAATCGCAATAGGAATTCCTGTAGTTCTTAAAAAAGCTTCTAGGTCTTGTCCCGAATATGATTAGGCTTTAAAAGATATATGTTGATGACATCTTTTTTCGTCAAAGGACATACAGGAAGTGGATCCATACTTACAGCATCTCAACTCTAATCACCAGAAAAACTATATATTTCATTAAATAATCATCAGCATCATAAAAATATGCAATTAAATTTAAAAAAAAAGGAATTAAATTAAATGACTGCTTTAAAAACGGTGTGTGTGAGTGTGCGTGTGTGTGTGTGTGTCTGTGTGTGTGTGTGTGCGTGGGTATAAGTGAGTGTCTTCAGTTTCTTCGTAAGTTAAACCAAGTAGCCGTTCAGTAACTTTAGTGTTAGGATAATTAAAGGTTGGGCACCAGGGACTTCCTTTCTAGGGTATACCTGGTTCCCCGGCTATTAGTACCCGAGGCGGCGTGCGGTGTTAGTCGGTTCTAGTCCGACATGCCACCGATAGGTGGTATCCAAGGGGATTTCCGCACGGAAAAAAAAAGTATAATTAAAGGTTGTAAAATACGGTCCCATCCTATGCGATGTGAGCCGTTTGCTAAAAAACCAAAATTTAGGTTAGACATATTTGATAAATAACATCTGACATCAGACATCACAGCATGCAGAAAAGCAAGAAGATATCACTAAATCATTAAAATTACATGATGTCTTTTTTTTAATTATTGAATTTTTATCTAATAATAAAACAGAAATAAAAGGATATGTTAACGGATAACAAAATAGAAGAAGTGATTCATGTCTTTGAAATTCAACTGACACAAAATCAAAATGCCAACTAGAGTTGCAGTTTGATGATTCATTTGCAACAGCATTTTAAGTTTCATATTTTTATTTCCTTTATGTGATTGCATGCCTTGCCAATCGCATGGGTTTAGTAAGTGCACATAACTATAGTGTGTTGTAATAGAAGTTGCATACCTCCAAATCTGGGGACAACTCAAAGGCACGGACATCGCTCTTTTGACTCATGAGTTTCCGTAGACTGCGGTAAGCGTCATCCAGGCTGTGGCGGATTAGCTACGTAGCAAGAGGGCGCCGCGTACTAACGCTTTCTGACCGTGCATAAGTATGTACTTATTTCGATTGGAGTGTAAAATTATTTTTCAAGTCAATATATCCACAATTTTTATCACGAAAGAGTTCCATCTAAATGTCGTACTGAAATTTAAAACTTTAGTACATTCCTAAAAGTGAGTATAGGTTGCACCAAAAATTGTGTTTTGCACTGTGACCCGACACCGCAACGCCCTCACCATGCTCAGCGCTAGCTGGGCAAATTGCCAGCTTGTGCTGAGCCGAGTCCTCACTGCAATCGCAGTGATGACAGGTGGGACTCAATTCCCTCATTCAGTCGTGTCCGGAAAGAACCTGCATCAGTTGGCAGGAAAAGGTCCCGTGCCGCCCTACCCACTCGACGATGACCGGCTGGAGGGCCTCTACGGTGCCAAAGTCAGCACAAGGAGCCTGCAGCAGGGACGACCGAGGAGCCATCGTGGCTCGTGGCGTGGCATCGAGGGCCTCGCGCCACTCGCGTACATTTTTGGGGGCCGAATACCCTCTGTGGGCACCAGAGATGCGCCCTATAGTGGGCCGTAAACACAGGTACACCGTACAGTGCCATAGACCAGACAACCCCCGTATACAGCACTCTTGTCGAAATGCTGTGTCCACGCAAATTGGGCAAAAGCCGCCCAAGGGCAGATACATAAAGGCAGTGTCAGGAATGTGGTTGGGCTCCATGGCCGGTAGTGACAGATGTTTCACCGCGGTCGCATCTTTCTGCGAAGACGTCACCTTGCAGAAGGAGGCGGCGGAGAGGGCCCGGGACTACAACCTCCACTCGGACCTTATCCGTCGCCGGCGAACCGGACGGCGGAGGCGCGCTTACCACCGCCTCATGCCGCCCTGAGTGTGGCCGCGGGTGGACGGGGCGGGTTTTCCCCTCCACCCGCCATAACGGCCAGCCGCAAGGAGGCTAGGTCTGCGTGTGCCGAACGTTGCCTAAATAGAGAATGTACCCGAAGGTGGTGCCCGCGCCGTTGCGGGCAGGCGCTAGGAGTCGGTTCGAGTCCGACATGCCACCGACAGGTGGTATCCGAGGGGATTTCCGCACGGAAAAAAAAAGGCGCTAGGAGGGGTCCGGATGTCTTAATAACAGCAGTCCCCGGATTCCTCCTATTACAGGCGCAGAGTGGCACACCACCAAACCCCGATGGGGTAACGGCCCGAGCGGGTTTCCACACGTAAAAAAAAAGGAGAGAGGTTGGGCCGTCGACCGGGGTTGCCGAGCCCCCTCTTGCCAACTCATCTGCAGCGTCATTCCCGTGTGAATTACTTTGCAATTTAATTCATTCGAGGAGTACCCCGGTTGTTGTGGCAAGCTGCTCCAATGCTTGATGGCATTTGAAGCCAATACCAGAGGTCATTGTGTTGCCCTCCAGTGCCTTTAAGACAGCCATACTGTCTGACAGTATACGGAAATTGTAGTCCTTAATTTGACATGGCCGTTTTGATGTCGTAAGTTATTACCACACATTCACATTGGAATATGGAACTATGTCTGCCTAACGCTAGTGATATGTTCATGTTTAGGTCTTGTGAGAAAACTCTGGCTCTAGTTACTGACCCAGTCTTGGAATCCCAGACCGATCTCAGTCATTTTCTTGTGTCAGAATGTGATATCTCCGTGTTAAGATATGGTGTTTTATGATCCTGTCGCATGGGGCTGCTAATAGTGGCTCACATTCAACTAATTGATCCCGTAATTTGGAGTGCAATCCCTCGCCTTTGTGCCACAGACCCAGGTGAATGAGTCTACTGATCGCCATGGCTACCTCCTGCTGTATGAACAAGTCCAGTGTGGGAAAACCAAGAGCCTCCTCTAGTGCGGCAGTTGGCGTTGTACGCATACAGCCTGTGACCGCGGAGCATGAGAGCCGCTGGAATTGCTGCAATCTAATGATAACGGAATCTTTGCTCTGTTCTCCGTAGCCGTTTGCATTGGCATTGAGACAATGCAGGCATTGTTTAGTTTCTCTTCGAGGTTCACTGTCAAGTTGTGTGTCACACACCACTGTTCAACGATCTTCAGTGCGAGTCTCATTTGATCGCATATAACGCTCTCAAAATGACCACTGAGGAGAATAGTCAGATCGATGCATAGCCTATTGTGAGGAATCTACGGTCGTAGAGTTGTGTGATTAATTCACAACAATGCTCCACAGAAGGGGGAGAGTACACTATGTAGGCACCCTCTAGGCACCACCCCCCCTGGTCACTTCGCTCACAGTAAATAGAAAAGCTCTATATCTTAGCATGCTGTCGAGCCACCCTGAGATTGTGGAATCAATACCATGTCTAGACAGAGCTTGGCTAATGCTAGTAAAATTTGTTTTGTCAAAGGCACTTTCGATATCGATAAAGGTGCCTAGTGTTGATCTTTTGTGTTTGAGATTGCCTTCTATATGTGATACTACTGGATGAAGAGCTGATTTGCCTATCGAGCATGCGTGTTGGTTGTGGTGTAATGGGTGACTGACTAACGCAGTGCTCCTAATTTCCCTACCTATGAACCTCTCAAGGACCTTTAATAAAAAGGACGTGAAACTGATAGGTCGGTGTGATTTGGGTTTTCTAGTCACCTTTGCACGGTTTGGGGATGAAGACTACTTTGACTTCTCTCCATTTCAAGGCATGTAATGGTGTGCCAAGCAGCCTCTATAGATTTTTACAAAGTGATCTAGAAGCGTCACGTCACACCATCTCAGCAGGCCAGGCCAAGATACCATTCATTCCTGGCGCCTTAAATGGAAGGAAGAATAATTTACAACCTTGTGGGCCGTCTCCCAGTTTGTTTCGTCTGGTGTTTTTCCCCACCTGTCTTCCCACGTTCCATCACATTTATTATGCGAAATCCTTGTCTTCGCCTCTGCTACATAATATGTTTTTGACTCTGTTGGCCTGCTACACAATATAGTTTCTTGGGTAAAGCATTTCAATATTGTATTATTCTGGGTTATTTTTACGTCTTTGTTAACATATTT